GGCCTTGTGTGTTTCCAAAACAGGCCAATTTCCTCATGGCTGGGATTCAACGAGGTGCTGGAAATGTTCCAGAGGGAATTCAGCTCATGCTCACTCATGAGCATCACTCAGCACCCGCGGTTCTGTCGGCAGGATATTGACGCTGAGAATAATTTGAAAAACCCTCAAACTCGATAACGTGGTGTATTAGAGAAGATGTGTGGCATCGATGTGACAACGGGTAGACTGTGGCCATGAGAGGATGCATATTGTGAGAATAAAAAGTGAACACATTCAAGATACCATTAAAACTTAGCCACTTTTCCCAAATATTGATACCGGGAAGGACGGATTTAAACTTTTATTGTGTCTACCACAAATTGTGTTCCTGCCATCAGCATGTTCAGGCACAAATATAGGATTTATTAGAAGTCTCAGTTTTCTACTTTCTTGCAGCGGCCCTCTAGCCCATCCACTTCATGGTGATGTATTAAATAAATATACCACAAACAAAAACCCCAAAACAAAGACAATTTACCAGGAAATTATTGTAGAAACGCTTCTTTTTTTTTTCACACAATTTGCTGCGCAGTAATGGTCTACCTGCTATTTTACAGCAATCCATCTGTCTCTGCGTCTGTTTCAACAACCTGTAGCCCGTCATTTCAGCAGCAAAACAGTATCTAAATAGCTGAATCACATTAAAACTGTCGGACGGAGAGACACTTCTGCTCCAATAAGGGTCAGTATGCATGCCCTCATGTTCAGCACACACTTACAAATACTGATTTGTAATCAAACAGCAACCAGACTGATCAATAACCATTGAGACAGGGTCAAGGTCAGAGTGGTTTGACAGACAAAACACAGGATGCAAGCACACACACACACACACACACACACACACAGAAATAGTCCTTGAAGCAGATTGACACGCTCACGTTTCAACAAATGCTGGACCTACTTGTGCAGAGATCATTTTCAAGATCGAAATTCTTGTAGCCCAGGGCCAAATTTCCACACTACATTTTCATTTACAATTTGAATGGATGTAGATTTGATGGCGTAGATCAAGCCGGCAGATCAAGAAAACAAATCTAATTGAAAAAACCTCGATTTGGAAAATGTTTGAACTGTTGTTTTGTTCATTCTTAATTTTTACGTATTTTTCGATGAAAAAAAGAGATGATAATTTGTCATTCTGATCAGAGATTGTGTTTCAACTATGAACAGTTGTCACGTACAATAAATATTTTTAGTTTGAAATGTATTTTTTTCATATCACGATCTTACCGAACTACCTTCATCCATTGACTCTTTGTCTTGCTGCTTCTCCAGCTCAGCGTCACAGTGACTACAGCACCTGATGACCATCCTTCCCTGGGGGCACAAACCCCTTCAACATGTTCCTGTAGAGTGTGGAGGAGCAGTAACTCAATGCCAGAATCTTCCTGGATCACTGAGTTTCTCGCCCTCAAGGAGACAAGATACTCCCCGTGGAGAAACCTCATTTCGGCCACTTCTGTCCTCGCTCTTTGTCTTTGTCAGTCAGTACCCAGAGTTCACGGCCACAAGTGCGGGGGAGGAGGGGAGCAGAATGGATGTCGACCAGTAAAGATAACGACTCTTCAGTGCTGTTCTTACCAAACTCTGTCAATCTCTCTTTCTTTTGAGAAGGTGAAAGCTGGAGCAACTCTGTTGTTTGCCTATTCATTTCTGAGCATTCATGCAGGAACGGATAAACGGATAAAAGGGCTTTTCTCTTTTTGTAAATGTGTTGCATTTTATTTTCCTCTCAGATATTCTGCTGATACTTCAACGCTATATATTTTCAGTATCTGATGTCACTCTCGCTGTTCTTTTTTTACCTGAACGTGAGACCACGCAATGTTTTGCTATTCAATCTGATGACATTTTTCATAATTCCATTCCATTGCTTTTATCAACAAATGTTGTGTTTACAAGCTGCCTGTGCGCTTAACAGGTGCGTATGATGGCCTTGCAAACCAAACACACGCACATATCTACATGGTTAATCCTGGCAGTCGGCCCAGATCATCTCAACCCCTAAAGGGTTAACCTCTTGATTCATTTTCAATCAGGGCCGCAGATTATCTGGCCTAACCCTGCTGGAGTGGACTCAATCTTGGGCCAAAGAGTGAAGTAGAGCAGGGATTTCTCCCAGGAGGAATCAATCACTTTGCCAAGCTCCTCACTGCTAGCCTTCACTTGGACTTAACCGCTGGACTCAGTCCCCTCTTCTTGTCCAATCTCATTCTGGATGTGGCAGTAGGTCAGAAATTCACGGACTCAAATCACTGACCTGACAGGAGGGACTTCTTGGTGCGGTCAGTGAGTCAGAGTTTGGGGAATCAGGTGGAGGGGCTGTAAATCCTTCCAAATAGTCATCAAAACAACGGCAGATGTTGAAGAGTCAGCGTCTCTTTACCAAATCTTTATTCACGTACAGCTTCAACAATGGCTGCAGAGCCACATTCAGGTCACTGGGTTTTGCGTGTGCAGGCATGTTTGTGTCTGCGGATGGCTAGTCTGATACACGAGAAGGGGTTGACTGACACACAGCCACAGGTTTAACTACGTGCCACTATGGATTAATACACATATCTTCACATTTCTCTCCATTTGCCTGCATCCTGCCCACAGATTACTGCAGGGGTTGGTGTGTTGTTTGCAGCATGATATCACTAAATCATGCGATTAAGAGAAAAATGTTTCTTGCGTTTAAAAAAAAATCCATTAAGCTGAGTAAAGACTGGAAACGCAAACCTCACTGCGATGGCTTTACACTTTACTGATCTGAAGCATTCTGATAAAAACTATTTTTGCTCTACTTAGTGATGTGCATCAAAATGCAGCAAGTAGAAACTTTGAGACAGATTGAACTGCTGGCGTCGGTGCGTCAGGGCTGCTTTTATATTGACTTCACTTTTAGCCACAGGAGTGAGGGAGATGTTAGTTATTTGTTTTCCTGCACCATTAAATAGATGCATTATTTATGAAGTCAAATACCCAGAGAACCTTGTTGAAACGTTAGTGGGATGTTGAGATATGGAAACCGGTGAATCATTTGCCAATTATTTCCCTGTTTATGGAAGAGTGCTCTCCATAACTCCCCCACTAACTGAGAGGTTGAAGTAGACAGGATAGAACATGTCAGTAATTTATGAAGCCAGTGAAACTGGCAAACAACACAAGTCATGTTGGCGCTGAAGCATTTTAGTGAATGGCCTTGATGGCGAGCCCCCATCAGTATGCAAGTGCCTTAAGTAACCATTTAAATGCATGGAGCTTATCATTCATGAAGATACTCAAATATACTGTTCATCATGGTGATTCAACTTGGTTTCAGTCTCTTTTTCTGCTTCATATGTTTCAATTAAATTTTATGTGACTCCTCCTAAACTCTTGGCCTCTGCAGACTCAGCAACATAGTTGATTCATTTTAATGTTTTCCGGTAATGACATCTTAAGCTAAACCCTCTCTAGCTTTATGTACTGTAGGGCCAAAATGTGACAGTGTGTAATGCGGATACCCTGGTTCAGCAGGTACAGGCTTTAGCACTCTGTGGCTTACAGACTAGCTACTTAGCTATCCAAATCTGGCAACATTATCACCACAATTCATGCAAAACAACCGGCAGAATTCATTTTAAGTGGGAACATACCCCCCTGTAAAATCGCAACTGCTCAGTAAACAAGCATATTTACCACAGTGTCAAAAAATTCCTTTAATTAAGGCCTGATAAAGAAAAAGTGAAGATCTCTCACCTGAGAGTAAATGTTTCCAGGGTAGATGTGCTCACCAGGAAGACATAGAAAGTTGCAACGTCTGTGGCCTTCAGGGGCTTGGAAGAGGTCTGGATCACCAAGGCGCCTCCCAGCCTCAGGCGAAAATAGGTGGGGTTCCCTGGCAGGGTTTTGAGCAGATTGACACTTCCTATTCGCCTCATCGGTGTCCCTGATCCCCCAGAGTCTCTTCCTCTTCCTACTCCTACACGTTGCAGGCTGTCCTGCGGGTTACACTGGCCAATCTGATCCCTCCGACTCTGGAAGTAGACCTCCACTAGATTCCCCTGAAGCCCCTTAATTCCTTCGGTTCTTCCTGCTTCACTGCTAGAGCTGCCTGATCGGCTGCCTGAGCTGAACCAGGCCGGTTCTGGCCGAAGCTGTGCCACACAGAATCCACCCGGAAACACCAGGCAAGCCCCACGAACTTCCCTCGTCTCCCAGAAGGCGTAAGCAGTCACACAGTGAGCTCTGTCCTTTGCCTTGGCTCCCGCACTTTTCCTGCCATTATCGTCTTCAGACCCCATCCTCTCTTGCCCAACAGTGATGTCATTTTCCGTGGGCATGTGAAAGAGAATCTTGACAACAGGGGATGAGGAACGAACCTTGCCGACCAGAATGACTGGCAGGATCCTGCGCCCACTGAGGAGGAGGTCTGGAGGAATCGGGGCATCCACACTCAGGGGGCGGTATGAAGCGTTGACAGCTGGCTGGAGGAGCCCAGCGCCTTTACCAGTAATGAGAAAAGTCTGAGTCTGAGCCTTCATGCTGGAGTTCCTGGATGACTCTGGACTTTCCTGCCTCAGTAACACATGATCCACATTGACGACCTGAAAGTTGACGGTGGGATAAACTGGCGATGGGTTGGAGGATATCCCAATGTCCACAGCAACTTTTGGACTTTCAGCAACTGGGAGGGGAGAATTTGGAAAGAGAGATTAGCACATTAACTACTCTACCACTGCTTAAACTCAACATTTCAGTGTTGGGCTTTGAAATCTGCTTTTAATATACATACAGTCGCCACTTACAGAATCAGCCAGTTACTTTAAATAAGAGCAGATGATGAGGACGGCAGGAAGACGAAGGGTTGACAAAAGGATAACAGCTGGAGAAACACAGCAAAGGGTCAAGGGTGGGGGGAGTTGGGTGCAACAGGGATCAAGAAACGTTGGTAAGGGCAGGTAGGTCATCTTGAGGATACTAGGGGCGGTGAAACCAAGTAGAGTGGGCATGACTCATTTTCCCCACGTAGTTGCTGGACTGAAAAAAAGGAGAGAAAAGGAAAACACACAAAGAGTTTATGGTGGAGGAACGTAAGAATTGAGACAAACAAGAGAGTGAGGGGTTTGTCATGAAAAGGAGTGAAAGTCGATATTAAGAGTGCATCCTAAAGCAGGGCTAGGAGATGGAAATGTGTGTATAAAAATAACTCTAAAAGTAATTACTGCAACATTTAGATCATTAATTCATGGGTCCATCATAACCACTGTGTAAACGAAGAACATAAAGGGATTTTCTTTTGAACAGTTTTATGCTGAGCACATTTTTGATCACACTATTCCCGTCTCTTAAAGTTAAAGAGACTATTTAAATGGACCTAAGCAAAGCAGTGCGAAAACCAACACTCCTCCAGAGCGATTCGCTTCTATGAAGTACAGATGGAACAGTCTAATGATGGTGCTCAATGTAGTTGGACTGATGGGAAAAGACAGTGTTTCCAACAGCATACAAAATAACCAGATGGCAACAACTATAGTAAATCCACAGGTCACACATTAAATATTCAGCCAAATGACACACTGCTGCTAAATGGCTCAATTTCAGGGACTTAATTCTCCATTGTAGTTATCATTGTAGCACAAAAACACTGAGGTACTATGTGTTTAACTCTTATGTGGTATTATCTGTACCAAAATTACACCCATGCTTCAACAGAAATTAAATGTATCCGCTCTCAACAAACTACTTCTACGTGATGCAAGGGAATGTCAAATGCGGTGTCTGAGTGGTAAAAAGCCTTGCTTGTAACTTCCATGAGATGACTGTTTGTCCCAACAGGATGCTGCATGTGACAGCTTCCACCCCCTCCTGCCAAAGACCCTCGGTAATTTGTCATCCTCCGTGTTCAAGTGCTTCAGAATTAATGTGCAAATTTGACTTTCTCCACCTCATAAAAAATAATTTGTAGGCAAATGTAAGGCGAGGCAGAACCTCCCCTCCACCCCCAAAATGTCTCACAAGTGATGAATCATTATTTTTCTAACCATATTTCATGAATACATCTATACCTAAATCAATGTTCTTTCTGAAGGTAAAGGAAAATCTATGAAAAAATACACATGTCAGAGTTGATATTAAAAATGCAGTATTCATAAACGCACACAGGAAACTGTTCTTTGGATTCCAGCTATCAAGACTGATGCCTAAAGGAGTTTTGCGTTGAAAGGCCAAAGAAGATATTGGCAGGCAAACATCACATTTACATAATATCTGCAGAACGAAGGCAAACCAAAAGTAAAATGAAATGCCATACCGAGGTGATCCAATTGTATATCTATGGTTTATGTCCTATCTGCTGCTGGCGCTATGAGAACAAAAACTGTAATCGTCTAATTTGTAAACTGCCATTTTATGATACACTACTAAGGACATGACGTTTTTTAGACCCTTTAAAATAGGCCCCAGGCCAATGTTCAACTAATTAGATTTGTGTGATGTTCCAGATCTGATATTTCCACTTTTAGACGACTACTGGCTTTTAGCCATAAACAGGAAATAAAAGTAAAAACAACATAATCAAAAGGACTTGATTCCAAATCCTAGACAGTTTTATACAGTAATCCATTTAAATTGGGTTTTTTTTAAATGCTGACTCTGGATTTAAATTGGAGAATTAATGTTTGGAAGAGATTTGTGCTTCCTAGTTCATTTTATTGTCAGTATTCTACTCTAACAAGCAGGAAATGGATGTCTGTATACTTTCAGTTCACATGTAAAAATTGGACATTAACTGACAGTTATAAAGAACCACCCTGCACAGTTATAGATTGGCCGATACTGTCTCAAGGTTGTACATCCATCTTGTTAAGATATATCCTCATGAAGCGGGCCCGGTCACGTCTTAAGTGTATACTGAAGGTCAGAGCAACAAAAAGAGGGAAATAATCTGTTATGTTGCAGACTGGTTCAAAACAAGTCTGCAACATGTCTGCCTATAAAGTGAAAAAACATGGTTCATAATTACATTGAAAGTAATCTGCACACGCTTACATTGCCAGTAAAGAGTAAGATCACAGTATTTTTTGTGGCAGCCTCTGATCTGAGATCCATAATTAGTCCATCGCTGATATGCTGTGCATCACTGAACTCTGCATCACTGAAATCAGATATCACTTTGGCGAGTCCTGACCGGATCCCCTGAAGTATCGTGTGACATCAGAAGAACCAGTTGAAATAATTTAACTGCTTTTGCAAATGTTAGTTCAACCTCAGACGGGTCCCGTTGACACAACAGGCGTCACATCTTTGACTGGACTGAGCGATAAGGCTGCAATTAATATTCATGGGTCCCATGCAGAGAGGATATCAAAGGCTGAACTCTATCACTTAGACATGAATTAAGAGCACAGCTGCGCTGCAGAGTCCTGCACGAGAAGAAATACAGCAGCCCCAGACATAACATATGGATGATGAAGCATGTACACAGAGATATCATGTGCAGATATAAGCGCAGGAAATCTCAGAAAGTACGCATGATATCTGTATCACAGAGAGACAGAGAGCTTATACTGTGTCTTCGTAGCTCCCAATGCAGGTTATCTTTAAACAACCAGAGAAACAGCTGTGCAGCCACAGCTCCAGGCCTCTTTAATCCCACAGATGAGGCTTCCTGACGCACACAGGAGAGCATGCTGTCACTTTCATTTACACAGAGGGACGATGAAATGGACAGAGGTAGTAACCACAAAATCCTCAAACATAGGAAAACTCAACCCTCCGTCCTCATAAAGCCTGTCACCTGAACACATTGCTACTGAATAGTTTTAAAATCCCGATGTGAACCTTTTTTCTAAACCGGTTCTATATTTTTGAGGCACTTCTCCTCCTCCAAGTCATAGTCTTTTGGTGGGCCTACTTAAAGTTTGTGCTAAAAGAAACCTAGTTTGTGCATATGTGAGATTGTACCAAAACTTCAATAAAGGGGGACAATAAAGAAAAACTTGTAAAACATGCGCGGGAGCATATTTGATTATTTCATCTCCATTACAGTTCCCATTGTCAACACAGCTGGAGCCTTAGGCTACTTCCAACCCAGTTATTTCTATATATTTGCTGAAACGTTCCTCGCGTCCGCTCCAACACACATGAGCATTAGATGAATGAAATCAAAGAGTCCATCATAGATCTCACCTTTAACAACAGTAAGAACCGCCACTGCGACGACTGGGAACAATGAGCGGAGGGGAAAGTTGAGCATCATTTCAGCAGAGTTGCAGGTTCTGCTGCGTTCCCTCCGGTGCGCACCTAGTTGCGCTTTGGGGACGCTGGAAGCAAATCACTAGATTGCCCGATGTCCGGTAGAGCTACTTCCTCTGACTGTAGAGGATTAAGGCAAAACAAAAGTCCTGGTTTACTTCATTATCCACATGGAGCTTCGTCTTGCTGCATCTGGAGTAGTTTTGGGATGTGTTTGTGTCTTCTTTCCTCTGTATGACGAGAGGGACGATTTCCTCCGGGAGCACACGGCTCGAGCTGGCACGGCTGGACAGCAACAGGCACGGCTATTCCTATGATAGAAATGAGTAAACATGTGCCCTCTCTCAGATTAACGGGACCACGTGGGTAATCGCCGGGGAAGAGCTGCGAGCAAATTAAATTCACATGAGGTCAAGGGGATCAGTGGTTTCTCCACGACTCATTTTAATGAAGGGCGAAAAACACATTAGATTCTTTCTTTTCTTCCATTTTTTAACTGTATTTAAAGTTATTTTTGGAATTCACAGTTGTTCATATTACACTAAGTAGGCCATTGTATTGAGTGCGATGTGCCAGTTATTGTGGGGGGGGGAAAGTTAAGTGCAGGTTTTGCCAGCTGCATATTCCCAGTCCACAGCATCAGATGGCATCATATTGCGTAGGATGGAGCAGATGGATGCAGGCACTATAGCTCAAATCTTTGTGGTGTCACAGCACACTATACATTTGGCAACATGGTGCAAAGGATCAGCAAACACTCACGTTTACTCCACTTCAGTCTTGTGTGTCCTGAGCAACATAAAGTTGTTTATTGGCGATTTGAGACAACCTCCCATATGTGTCCAGTCCACAATTCAAACAAAGAAAAGTTTAATTATAATTTTTTTTCTGAGCTACACCAGGCCTTCAGGCCACATTTAACATCTTAACAATTTGGTTCATTTTTTTTTCTCTCTCTTTTTATGTGTATCACTTCATCTGCCTTGACCTAAAATCTCTTACACTCATTATAACGAGGTGCGTTGAGCATCAGCGTGAGTACCAAGCCTGAACTCAAACAGCATGGTGTCTCGTTGGATGTGCCCTACAACAAGGGAAACAATAATGTGGGGCTATGCAGTTTAAGCACCATGGCATCCATCCACATCGGACTAAGTGCTGACATCAGATTTATGGTATAACACCAGTGTTTAATGAGCTTGGTCGGACTAGGATTCACTCCTCCACTCTCTAACATCTCACTGAATACCTGTTCACTGAAACAAATGTGCTTTACTGGCAGAATACGCCTGCCAGCGAAACAAACTGTGCCCACTGCCTCAATGCCTGTTTTATTGCAAGGTGGCACCAGTGCCAAGGTGACAGCAATATGCATGCAGGCATCATTTGGCAAATAAACATTTTCTCTGCTGCCAGTAGAGGCTGATTAGAATAAATATGTGCCTTAGGGAGACATTTAGGGATCTCTAAATGCCAATAAAACTTTGAGGAACTACTGGAGTGTGTAGTATGTCAGGGGAGGAACTTGATTTTTCTGTACACATTGCTCTCGTGTTTACAGTGCAGGGTTAGCACATGCGTAGCATTTGGAAGCCACTGAGCTTTAATTTGAGCAGGTTGTCTGTGGTTTTGGCTGGATGAGGTTATTAAAGCCGACAGTGGCAGAGGCCACCGACTATTGAGTCTGGGAACGTCTCCAAATCTCAGTTGTTGTTCCAGACATGCAACCTGCTGCTGGTGCTATTAGACATGACGGAGAGATGGTCCGATGCACTGCGTGTGACTCCAACATTCCATATAAAGTTTCTGGTGGTCATTTGATGTGGAGCCACATGGGTAAAGGCCTAAATCCCTGTAGAATTGTTTCTTCTATAACAAGCTTCATTGAGCTTTTGAAACTGAGAGACTGCAGGAGAAAAGACCTCAGTGACAACTGGTCAGAGCGAAAGCTTAGTCAAGAATTCAGGAAATAGACCATTGCCTCTTTTCAGCCACGAGCACTCTGTCTGACTCCAGGGATGGCAATGTTGGCCAGACGGTTGGTTGATCCTCCACTTTGTTCCAGACTGAAATATCTCCACAGCTATTGGATGGACTGCCATGAAATTTGGTGCAGATGTTCATGCCGCCCTCAGGGTGAATTGTAATCACTTTAGTGATTACTCTACTTTTTCTCTATAGTGCCATTATCAGGTCAAAATTTCAATTTGTCTAATACTTTGGTTTATGACCAAACACCTGCAAAGCTAATGACATTCCCATCGTCCACAGCTGTACTTGTGCTTAGCTCTAATTAGCCGATTTTAGCACGCTAATACGCTAAACAGAGCTGCTAGCATTGGTGTAGACTCCCAGTCTTTGATCTGCTGGTTGCTTTTTAAATATGTATCCAGATGTTGGCTGATGTAACAAGGCTGCATAAAATAAATTGTGTGGTTAGAAGTACTGCCCATTATCTTTTTGACCCTCAAAACTGAATCACACTTTGTGTTCCATCTGTCATCAGCCTCAGTGTGGCGTTCACATCTCTGATACCTCTTTATGAAATTGTGTTAAAACTTGAAATAATGTATATCACTGGTACTCGCATTTTCAGTTGTGTACCTCTCTCCATTAAACATCAGAACATGGTGACACAGACGATTCAACTTGGAAGTTTGAATTTACAAAAACATTGTACATACAATTTAAACAGCAAAGAAAAAATAGTGTTCAAATAATATCTTAATGCAATTCAGAAGAATTTGACTTCCAAAAGAACAATGTACAGTAATATTAACAAATACAGAAAATACAACTGACACAAGAGGCATTGCATATATTGAACTGTGTATGAACAACCGGGACATGTTATATCAAAGCTTTAATCTGGAAGTTAACATCCAGTTGATCTCAACTCCTCGGTGCACACTGGGGTCATCCAATGATTACTAGATCTATTAACCTTTACTGACACTCATCCAGCCTCGGATGAGTTACAGGCCAGGTGGTACGTCCTCCCACCGACGGCCTTCCCCTCAGAGCGCCGCCGTGATGGACAGGGAAGAGGCTCGTCTCAAACCACCTGCTGGGAAACGCATTCATTTTGGAATGGATGGATGGACACACATGAACTATTCAGTGTGATCTAGCGTTTTTGTGTTCGGTAAAATTTACTGTACACAACTCCGGGTCATATATCACAGCATCAGGTCATGGGCTCTCATAAATGTTTGACTTGTATAAGTGTGCCTCATAACAGAATGCAGAAGAAATTGAAGAATGCAGAAGGACTAATAAAGGATTATCTTATCTTATCTTATCTTACCTTAAATTCTCTCTCTTTTGTTCATTAGTGACCAGGCAAATCAGACAACAGCTTCCCCAAGGGCCCCAGACCCTCAGGGGCCCCAAAGGCTGCAGATTCGTACATTATTTTAATATATTATTTATGAAATGTCTGAAAACTACATGTACGTATAATGTTACCATGTGAAATGGTGTTTGAAGATGTTTTGGCCACTAAATGAACCTGTGTTTAATCATATTGCCACACACTAACTGGCACAACATGAACCTGCGGACTGACTGGTAATCCCATGGGAGCACTGGTTGGTGTATGGCATAATGAAGCTCACATGCTTACTGTGAACATTGTGATTAAAGGCAAGAGGATACAAACAGTTCTCAGGGCCCTCGAGCTGGTTGATCCATCGAAGGATCTATAACAAAACGGCCTGTAGTAAAAGCACACAAGTTCTTCATATGCAAAGCAACTTGTAGTATCATTCACAGCCCCCGTAAACCTCTGTACCACACATTTACTGCATGAGCTTCAGGAAGTTTTTCAAAACTGTTCCCAGAGACTTCAAAAGAAGCCTCCAACTCGCGTCTGGGTATATCAAAGTCAAATTAAAATATTTTACCTGGGAGATCCCTGCTGGGATTTTGGGGGAACGCGGGTCAAATGGACGCGGAGTGTTTAACTGGCACTCTGAGGTTTTGTGAAACATTCAGAGAGGCCAGCAGAAGATGGATGATGGATGTCTCCTCATGCCCATGCCCCCCCCCCCCCTCTGGTGGCGTGGCAGGCAGGACGAAAGCGAGTGATAGAGAGGTTACAACTGGCAAGAATTTTAAACATCCATTGGCCCTCGGGAACTCCACAGACTTACAGCTCAATAAAGATCTGTTGGATAGCGAGGGGAAATAAGCGCAAGAGAGAGCTGAAGGGAGGTGGAGGGGGGGGGGGAAGAAAAAGAAAGGGAGGAGAGGAGAGGAGAGGAAGGACAGGGAGAGATGAGAGTATATAAGAAATATATAAGAAGCAACAAAACAAATATTCATTGATTTACACATTCCATCTTTGTTTCTCACCACCCGGAGAGCACAATGGGTGTTTCAGTACTGAAACGCTGCAGTATTCGCTCAGTCTTTGAGGTTCTCTCCTGTTTAAATCAACGTTGAAATTAAGCCAATGGTGAAAACAAATATGCATGTAAGGCAGGGTATTAAAGGAAGAAGAGGAGGAGGAGGAGGAGGACTATTTCTCAAGTTCAGCCACGATGTGAATTTTGTGTCTTGTGGTAACTGTGTTGACATCAGAAAATTAAATACATCATTGAAGAGTGAGAGTTTGTCGCTGTCTGTCTCGCATCCCTCATTGCGAAACTGCAGTCTTCCCAGTCACGCGCTGTCTACGCCCAACTGCAAAGCACTGCTTCCCTCCAGAGGACTGAGATGTAACAGCATGAACAAGCGGGCCGGTTATTTTTATGAATTTATTTTTTTTTTGTTTGAAAGATGAATTCACCCACAACGCTGATTTCAATCTGCTCCCTGTCTCTGATTGGATTGTTCCCTGCTTTAATGTAAATGTGGTAGACACAGTGAGGTGTGTTACTTGTAAAATGGAGATATAAAAATGGAGGAAAGGAGAAAGGAGAAGCGTGCTTACAAAAAAATGAAATCCTCTATGGATGTTATGAATTTGTCGGATGTGCTATTTCTCATTTCAGACTTCTGAAATGACACAAATGAATCACGTCCAAAGCATCTTTGTTGGATCGCAGTCTTTGAAAGCTTTGAGACTAATTGTTAAAATATCATTCAAGGCTCATCACGGTCTCCTTTCACTCAGAGAGTTTGAAGTCATGGATGACAGTCAACATCTGTTATACTTCAGATCCCATTGAACAGCACTTCACTTATTACTCGTTGTTGCATCGAAGCCAAGTCTCTCCAACGTCTCGTTAATTAGGAATCTAACTTTTACTGACAGTCAGTCTTGTTGTTTATGAACTGCCAAGCAGGCTTGTGTGAACTCAGCATTGTCACCATCCCTTCAGCCTTTTGTCCCTGATGTGATGACAGGCAGGATATGATTTGTTGTGATGCTCTGGGCTGAATGACAGCCTACACCTCTAGACTGATGGCAGAGAGAATATTGAATTCAGATGAAAAATGTTAATAAATGTTGCATAAATCACTTCATCAAATCATTATAATTTGTCATGTCTTGATGGAAATGATCACAAAAGATAACCGTCATCCCATTGTTGCCGTTCATTAATGAGCGTGAGGCCTTACAGATCATCTTTCTGAAGCTGATTTGGGGATTTTCTATCCAAACAACCACTTGTTGCAGCCGATTACAACCTGGGGTTAATAATTCAATCAGACCAACAGTGGATGTGCCATTAAGCGAGCTGTGACAAAACAACCGATATTCTTTCCGGAGAGAAACCCCAGGAATACATTTGACTGCACTGATTAGGACACAGTTTCTATTGACAAGCATTTTACCTCCACTGAGACGACGGCTGTGAGAAGCTTTGTTTGTTGCAGGCAAATAAATAAGCCATGAAACCCTGTCTGATATTGAACCCCCCCACATACAAACCCAGGCACTGTGCTAATGTCAGATGCTACATGTCTTGCCTGCATACATTTCGAGGCTTTTCTTTTTGAATGTCACGTCTCATTAATTTGTGTGACACTGTGATGATTAAAGATAGCTCAAATCTCCTGCTGTATATGCAACATCTGACCTGCCCCCGCCTCTCAGTGAGAACACATTTACACACAAATCAACGCAAACTGTCATTTCCTAAAAAATATCAAATTTAATTTGGTTATAAAAGTTGTATTTTTTCACATGCACACCCATACATAATGATCACCATAAATACTGTCCAATGATTTCTCTTTTTCTGTTTTTCTTTTTTTAAACCTTGATTCACAAAGCAAGCACATACGGTGGACCGATACATCTGATTTCAAAGGACACTATGGAGAATGCTCGCAGTCGGTTACAGGTGGAAGGAATCTCAGTGCACTAACAAACAAAAAAAGCTGTCGAAAAATCAAGTAGAAACATTTATAAATTATCTACAAATGGATCAAAGTACAAAAGAACTACGGCATTTAGAGACACTACACCCATTCACAGGTGAATGATTTGGTACCGGGACACCATGTTACAGTTATTCAACTTTGTGACTTTGTGAATGAGAAACTATACATGAATAGCTTTGGAACAAAAATCATGTAAGCCTATTACCAGCTGAACTTTTCTTACATTCCATTTTGGCAAAACACTCTCTTGTCATTGTATTTAATCAATAATATTAACAAATAATGAGGAGAGAGAACCCTTAAGTGCAAGTTGAAACAAGGGACAACTATAGCGATAAACAGGACAGAATGGTAATTTCAAAATAAACAGAGCGAGTAGAAGTTTTTTAAATTATTAAAGCTATGAGACGTTTTTTTCCTTTCAGTTAGTAATTCATCAGTAAGTTCTTGAGCACTTTTAGCCAACTTCCCGGCACACAAAATGTTGGTACAGTATTCCTTTTACGAATCCAAGTTATCATATTTGCTTTCAAATCTGAAATTGCAACTTATTATCTCTATAATCTCATATAATTAACACACATAACGGCTGTCTCCTCGAGAGTCAAAAACTGAGGTAGGACAGTAAGGTTGAGTTGTGTTCGGGCCACCAGATGAAATACATTTGAATTATGTGCTGTGACTTTATGTGATCAGTGAGATGGAAGTTTAGCATTGCCATTTGAATTTTCATTCATTTATTTCTTTCTTTTAAATTTGGTTGCGTTTTAGAATTTGATTTGCTCTCCAACCTACAGGTTTTCCAATTTAACCTATATGGGAAAACCGGGCAAAAAAACATTCCAAAGATGGAATTTAAAATGATGTCATCAAAGTTTAAAATATATGATTTTTAATTTTTAAAAATAAGTAAAAAATAATTGTAAGAAAAAATGAAACGCTGTCGTCCAAAATCAATGATCACACTAAACACTTAATTCAGTATTTTCTCGCTCCATGCAGCGTCATCTATCTTGCAATAAAGACACATTTTGGAGATTTTTACATTGACCATGAATGAGAAACTGAATTAACAGACAGCCTGCAGGATATTAAGTAGTTCCCACTGATATGATCACATTTTGTGTTGCAGAATCTTTTAGTGGCATTATGCAAATAGGTTTGTTTGATTCTGAAGACTTGATTGCAACATATGAAACATTCAGTGAGTCAACAAACCCAATGGACCAAACTGAACATCGACATTACTGATTAGTGTCTCCAGACTCCGGCTTTGAGTACATGTGCTTAATTCATAAATTGTTAAATTATCCAAGATCATAGAAATAAAGTAAAAGTCAGATCTGTACCAGATTCCCTTTTAAATATATATATATATATATATATAGGCTGTGTAACATGTTAACTTGTTATGGTATAGTCCTTATGTACTGTAAGTACAAGTACAAGTCATGTAAAGCATAAAAGGACATATTAAATATGTTAGTGATGTCTCTCCACAGACCTCAGGTCGATGAAACAGAACCAGTGAACAATGCACACCTTGACATTTTGATTTGGGATTTCTCCGAGGCTTTAACGTGGCCCCCTAAATCAACATGACACAGCAGAACTGAACGGTGCACAGGCCACGGAGGTAGCAGCACATCACTTAATCACAGGACCAAGAACTACATGGCCTCTCCTTCAGAAAGCAAAAACATATAAGTGAAAGACAAACATGAAAGGTGAAAAAACATGAACGCATCACATACTGCCTCACACACACAGGCACACAAAACATGTCTTTTACCAATCAAAACACCCACCTTTGTGCAATAGGAAGACAGACACAAAATGTAGTCTTGAACTAGGCGTTTCATGACAGTTTGACAGCAAGGACAACAAACACTTCTGCTCTTATTTAATTTCCCAAAAATGACAAAGCACAAGCGACCCGTCATGAAACAAAAAGCCTCGTGTAAATCAACTGAGGAACGTCAGCCTCATATTGTTCTCAAAAAGGCCACTGAGACAGCTACGCTCGCCTCTGAAGTTAATGCCCTGTTGCCAATCTTCTATTTTTTTAATTCCTTTCATCACATAAGAACTCCACTCTGATGAAATCACAGGTACAAGTGGAAATGTTTCTTTTCTTCCCACGTATGCTACCGCCTCTCCATGGTATTGCACTGAATAAAGGCTTTGAGTTAGCAGCCAGCATTACTTCACAGAATGCCTTGATAAGTGTAGTCTATTTGAGATGTTCTTAGAGGACCGTGGTCTCGTGTTTCCTCGCTGTGACATCAATACTCCGCAAAAATTGATGTTTTTTTTCTTTTGTTGCTGAGAAAAAAAGCCCGTTAGAAACAGAGATGTACCCAGATCCTTTGTTTTCACAGCTACCCTGCTTGAAACAAATGTATAGTTTCTTCAACTAATGATAAAGAAAAGAAAAAATGTACATGTCATGAAAATCCTAGTTGTTTTTTTTGTTTTTTTTAAATTATCGGTTGATTTAAAATACATCACAGTAATATGTTTTTGTGTCCGCAGGTGACCTCTCTCTCTCTTTGATTTTGGCACTGCACTATACATAATTTAGATGATTTGTATCCATCACCGCACATGAATAACTGTATCACTGGTTATATTAAAATAGGCTCACACAGTCCAAGAGACAAAGCTCACATCCTCTCTGTCATGTGTTGTTGGATCAGAGTTGATTGTGTGGATGCAATATACAGAGCCTGTGCACGTATTGTACATGTATGCTTTTTTTTTTCTTTCTTCTTTTATTTCACAGGGGAGAGTCTCTTCAGGAGCTTCTTCCCTTTGGAAAGTAGTCCTTTCTTCTTCTTGTTTGCCAGATCTTGGTCACGGGGGTCCCGGGGCTCCAGCGGGAGGCGGGGGCCCCTCGTAGGGCTGAGGGGTCTCATGGTGCCTGGGAGGAGGGGCCGAACAATCGGGGACGGCGCTCGGACGGGTGCGGCGTCGTTGTCGACCGTGTCGGTGGTTTCCGGGGTCACCTGAGGAGAGAAGCGATGGGGAGGAGTGGAGGCATGGGGCAGCGTATTACAAAAGAAGCAACACTTTTACACTGCAGACGTAGGCCTGAGTCTGTCTGAGCTCTTCATCAAAATGTTCTCTGAATGCAGACGCTTTTCAAACTGTATTGCTTGTTTTGTACAACAAGCAGTGTGCTGTCCTTTTGAGTGCCCTGTGCATCTAAAACCTGCACTCACTGAGCACATAATGAACAAATTGCCCACTGACTCATTGACGTCTTACATGCTTGTTTGTGGTCTGATGGTACTTGTTGAGTACTTTGTTGTTTAGCAGAAAAACTCAAATGTCATTTCATTTGATGGAAATTTAAGTCACGGGTGAAGAAATAACTTATTATTGTCAAATGGAACACGTATCGCATGGCTGTCCAATATGATGCAGATGTTAAAATGCTAAAACCTTTCTACTGTTAAAAGAAGTTAGAAGAAGAAAGAGGATTATGCAGAATTGTCTATTTGCATTGTCTAACTTTACTATCCATGTAAAGAATATTATCAGGCACCTTCATTATAAACATGTCGATTTTTTTGTATTAATCTCCTTTTTTTAGCAAATATATTTGAGTTATTTATGTTGATGTTATGTATTATCTACTCCAGTGTCTTTCTGTGGTTTGGTGATTGTTAAGTGGCTGCTCTAACTACCGCAATTTCTTAGGATTAATAAAGTTATCCATTTATCTATCATAGTTTCATAATTACATTTGTGAAATTAATTCACACACACACACAAACAAACACACACACACACACACACACACACGCACACACACACACACACAGAACATATGTAGAAAAAAAACACTGAGGAGGAAGCCATCAAATGTTGAGTACGACATCAGCACAACACAGAGTCCACCATCAGTAGGCCATCAGTAGGGAACATACAGTACAGTATTATACAGTACAACACCGAGGGACACAACTGTAGATACCAGGCTTCTCAACTAATGCAGCAGCTGGATACGCAGCGATGCTTTTGAGAGAATCATCATTAAGATAGACGATAGTTTGTATTTAGAATTTCAATTTTAAAGAGTCTAAATTTCTCAGACTCAAATTGTCAGTGATGTATCATAATATACGGCTTTTGGGTGACAACAATTATGCTATTCAGTATTGTGAGGCCAATATTATGAACATTTTAATATTTCGAAATAAACCTGTATATACTTGAAAATGTACCAATACATTTGGGTAACACTCAAACCAGGAAAAACTGCACATTTGAACTGATCCGATACATCACCGTGAAAAACAAAAGAGCCCTCTGCTGCGACCACAAGCTGTGTGCATTAGAGTTTGGTATCTCAAGTTGCCGACTTACTGTACAAGGCAGACAGAGCCATTTATGGTGTGAAATGAACAATCTTCTTCTGTTTGTTTGTTTTGTTTTGCCAAGCGGGTGAGGAAAAACAAAAAAGAAATCAGATGTGGCAGCAAAGTCACCGTCGCTTAAAAAACCCACACCACTATGAAAACTGAAAACAACAACAACAACAACAACAACAACGTCAACAACAACAACACACCGAACACAGAGCGCCAAAAAAAAAGAATGTTTTTAATATCCAATTTTTTTCTTCTTTTATTGTTCCATTGTAACAATACAGTATGGATGTATCAGTGCTGCGATTAGTTTTGTCTCTCGAGCTCAGAGCAAACATGGCATATCCACTGTCAACAGGGCTGAAAAATAGATTTGATGTGTGTGCAATATACATAAAGAAACAAAGCCTCTTTAAGGAAATACAGCAGTCGAATCAAGAAAGTTATTATAAAATGTATCAAGTATGAAAAAGGCATGCTTCTCTCTCTTTTTCATCTTAAAAGTTTTCCCTCAGATACTTGATTTCAGTGTCCTTGGGTAGCCATTGTTATGTGTTAATAAAGCACTTATTATTATACACAACAACCACATTTTGATTTTGTGTTTCAGTGCAAAGAGGTACCAAATTATGTTGCGTAAGGAATGAGTTGAGTCTTTTTGAAGTCCTCCTTAACCAGTGCTACATGCATAAATCACCCGCAGCGCTCCCACAGTCTATCCCCTCTCTGTCCATGTCAGGCTTTGCTTCTTCCTTTCTCTGAGATTCAGAAAGGTGTTAACACTGGATTTTTTTTTTTTGTCCCCTTTTCCAAAGGGTGAGGGGGGGGGGGGGGGGGGGGGGGGGGGGGGGGAGAAGGGGGAGGGAGGTTTGTTAGTTTGTATAGAGTCACCACTGTCACCACATGGACAAACACACACAATGAACAGCACACAGACGGCAAGTGGAGGAAGCGAGAGACGGAAATCAAGAGAGAGGACGGAGGATGGATGAACACAGGGCCTAGCGCTGAGAGCGGCGATGATGGTGTACCCGTTTGCCCTCTGAGACGGTGGAGGCAGAATTGGCAGGGGGCCGGTTGGCAGGCTCTTCCTGGGGGTAGTGGGACGGAGTATCGGTCAGATACACCTCCACGTCATCAGGCACTTCTTCCAGGAAGTTAGAGGGAACCAGACCGCGGTGGCCGTTGATCTCACCCTGTCGACAGTAATGAGGAGTTCTGTCAGGGTGGCTGGACATGATGCATTTAATACGGTCGACACAGCATGTCGTATACTACTGTATAGGCTGTAATTTGAGGTAATCCCCTCAGGGATGTATCGGGACACTTTCCATCATTTTTTAATTTATTTTTTACCAAAATCAGCATGTGAACCTAATTTACACTGCCAATCCCCTGGACTCATTTAATTCATGTTTCAAAATGATCAATTTGCATATTCATCATTCTTCCCAACCTTGTGATTTGTTAAATTAAAGATTGTTTGACACCGACCACCCTGCCTGCAATCAATCACTGTGCAAGAATCGGAACTCTACAGTAAAACACATTGCTGTTAATACCCAGGAAAGGCCTGTATGTTAAACGTTCCACATTCCGCTATTTTTATGAGAGTTTCAGCAGAAGACTAATGCCATTTTCTAATGTCTGCACGGTAAATACAAAGCTACAACCAGCAGCCGGTTACCTTAGCATTGGATAAAGATTGGAATAAGGGAAAACAGCTAGCCTGGCTCTGCCTTTAGGCAAAAAATATTCATAATTTGCATACCAGCACTTCAAAAAATGAACTTGTGTCTAAAAACCAAAGGGAAACAAAAATGACAGTTCAGTTTCTGTACAAAAAAATATAAAGTGTTGTTACAAATGCAAACATGGCCAAGTGGCACTCACATAATAGAATCCGTCTTCATCAATATCTCCAAACACAGCCATGATGTCACCAGCACAGAAGGTCAACTCGGCCTATCAGAAGACAGAGATACAGAAAGGGATATACAAGGAATGCGATCCAGGGGAAGTCGACTATGTCTTAATCTGTTATACTGGTTTATGTGGGGTCATGGTCTGATACAGCCCTTCCTTGGATCTGTAAATACATGTGTGTTCAGTAATGAGTCCTTAGCAGTTACTGGTACCTCGACATCAACATTAGGGGAGCTCTCTCGGGGGTCGTAGTCGTACAGGGCCACCATCCTCCTCGAGGCCTGATCTCGACGCAGGCCTCTTCTGTGCTGCTCTGGAAGCAATAACGGATTTCATTTTAACATGTGTTTTTAGTCACAATTAAACTTTGCAACCCCACCGACAGCGGGCAGCCGCGATCATCTGTACTTGCTCAGGAGTGAGTCAGCCTGCGTAATACCTAATCTGTCCACAGGGGTGCTGAGTGGCAGGAAGCCCTGTTTGATGAGCTGGTCCATGGTCTCCTCGTCCTCCGCTCTGATCTCCGACACCATGTTACAGGGGATCAGCCCCATCCTGCCCCTCACCTCTGCTCTGTAAAACCCATCTGTGTCTTTATCACCGTACACCTGTCAGAGAAGAGAGTGAACGAGTGATGTTTAGATCTCCCAAAATATGTAGCACTTCTGTTATGGTGATTGAGGCACAGTCAAGCCAGTAATTGAAATGTTTTTTTTCAAATATGCTCTAGTTTAAGTAGGATTATACATAAAAGATAAAGATATTTTGCAATTTTTTATTAATTTTTAAATTATAAATTGTACATTTCTTCATGACTATAGTGCACCACTGACCGACATGTCAGCTGCTACAAAATATACAAATGGTTTTTTTTAACTGTAAAATAAGCTAGTCTATACACATGAATATTGGAAAAACAAACAATAATGAATGATGAAGTCCGTCTGAGAGAACTATATTCAAACTGAACATACTTTCTGCAGCTACTGCACACTGAAATAACTATTTATTTATTTATTATATTTCAGGATTATAGTGTTTGTGTTTCATGGCCAAAATACAGCAAACAACTAGCGCCTTATGAAATGTACATAAACATAAACTCCCACCCTAATGATCTGCCCCTCTTTGAAGGGCAGCTCCTCATCAGCTGCATCTGGGTTGGGGGACATGGACAGAGGATCATAGTCAAAGAGGGCCACAAAGATCCGGAAGGACTCCTCAGGCTCGGACTCATCGTAGTACGTGGGAGAGCGGCGGTCCCGGTCCCTGTAGCCATCTTAAACACATCGAAGACAAAATAATTCCATCATCCTGCATCACTACAAAGAACAACCTATCCAACACACAGAACAGGAACTTTGGAGGCTTTGTTTCTTTATGGAAATATTTAATATTTGCAAACATCATTTTTATGTTTGTCTTCAGTCAAATATGAGCCTGTGTTTGTGATGTTTGGTCACAGATTTCAGGGCTCAGCAACAAAACTTTAAAGTACTTTGATGACGAAACCTACGGTTTCATACAGTATACACCAATTACTTCTCTACTGAGCAAGTCCATACAGTATGTTACAGTTACAGCACATATTGATGTGTCTTAGCCATGCTTTAAAGGAAATCAATGAGGATTTTTTTCCCTAATATGTTTCATTGATTTGCTGTATTGCATGACAGATTTGATTTTCCAGTCTAGCCATAATTGTGCCTGTCAGCATGCAGGAAAAAAATCAGTGGTCAGTCAACTATTTAAATCCTTTACTGAAGCACACGCATGCACCAACAAAAAAAACACACACACACACACACACACATTACATGTACTTTCATGTTCTCTATTTTTACATATAAATATGCAGTGAGAGACAGACGAGGAGCAATACAAACCATGGTGCAATACACAGAGAACGTGATTCATGGACATGACACAACACCAGAAACACACAAGACTCAGACAAGCATGCAACAAGAAGCCTAAATAAAAAAAATGCAAAGACAAAGATACAACTCCATGTGTCTATTTTCACTTCAAATAAAAACACAAATGAAATTCTGAGATCTAAAGCAAAATCCAAAACTTTGCCACACATTGCCAACAATTGTAGCAGCAAGAGGTCTAAAGCAGAGATGGCAGAGTTGTTGTGGAAGTCATTTATTTGAATTTGCTAGCAAAGTGTGATACTGTTAAGCCAAAGCTTCATTTTGGTGCTTGGAAATACAAGCATGATGTGAAATGCACTGCTCCCGGCTGAGCATAGGCCAACCTACGGAAGATTCGGTAATTGTATTTATGTGGCACGACCAAAGGACAACTGCATTTCCAACAGCTGATATTTCAAACTCAAGAAACTCAAACGTCTAAAGAAAACAAGAAAGCAGTGAACGTGTGTCGTCATTATTTAATGTCTGCCACTAATATTTCTTCTACATGTCATGCAAGGATGCTCTCATTAAAGGTGTCGTGGGTGTGGTTGTACTACAAGGGGAAGGGGTTTAGCAGGCATCTGGAGTTCAGTGCAGTGAGTGAGGCATTCTCCGAGCAGTCAATCAATCATTTATCATCTGCAACTGTGGGAAGGTTCAATCCTGGACCCCAGGTATAGCTTGCCAGTGGGTCCACCATTTCAGTGCAGTGCAGTCATGCTGTTCAACTGTAAGCATAATAATATCTAATATTATTTGAGGCGGAGAAACAGGCACTTGCAGGTGTCCACAGCTACTTCTTGCTGTTTGCCAGTTGCTGGTGGCATTTTTTTTTTGTCGCCATGCTGTGGTGGTAGAAACAGGACTGCAGGCACATACCATGGGGTGACCTGGTGCCGCCCATGTGCCTGCGGGAAGACCACGTCCTGTGCCGAGCTACTCTGCCATAGTAAACATCCTCGGTGATGGGGTTTGCCTCACTGCTATTCTCAAAGGTTACCTCTACAGGAAACACCAATTAGAGGGTGATGGGGTTACAATGCAAAGCTCAACATTCCCTTCCCAAAAGGTTAACTGAAGACTTGTGTTGCCACCGAAAGCGTCTTACTGCTTAGACACAAGGTAAATACAAATACACACAGGAAAAAAACAACTACAGCAAAACTATCATGATTGTCAGAGTTTTTCAGAGTAGATTAGCACATCAGCGTGTAGTGCAACTGTTTGCGAGGTAATTTAAGAAAAGTCTCAGTTTGTGGCATCATTATAATCTCTGCAAGATGTTCAGGTAGTGAAGGGCATGAGCATGGTTCATAGACACAGAGGTGATCTGGAGACACAGAGAAGCTCATGATGGTGTCAACAGAGCAACAAACATGTCTGTGCTAGGGCACAAAAAAACACAAAAATGATTTAAAAAAAATAAACGACACCCCCCCTCTGCTCTCTCTATCCACCTGCCCATACTGACCAATGGAGGGGACCATTAGAGGTCTTCTCTGAGGCTGGGGACCGCTGCGATGGTTTCTTCTGCCGGTCTCCCGGTCATGACGGCCTCCAGCCGGAGTGTTACCCTGAAATGCACATAAAGCACAGAAAACATTCGCAAACATTAAACATTCACGAGCTGCTCGCGGACACGTGACTCGCAAACGGTGTGTGTGGAAAAAAAAAAAAAACGCATGTCGACGTACTCGTACAAATTGTATGTAAACAAAATCATGCAGCACTCACAGGCAGGCACACTGAAACACAGACGCATAGACACGCACTCAGACACACACAAGCCCACGGGAAATTTCAACATTCCAATATTAAGCAAATACTGATTTAAAAAACAAATTACTGATTTAAAATATGTAAAAGGAAATTTATTGTGTCAAAGATATCAGTAAGCACTTGTCCACCGTATATTACTGTGCACAACGCAAAACTGTCCACGCCCAGTCTTTTCCTGTGTCTCTCTCCGAGGACCTGAACACATTCACACCCAGTGTATCTTAGCTTCTCTCCATGAAGCTGAAACATTCAAACCCAGCTTCTTTCTCTCTGTTGCTCTCAGACTGCAGCCTCGCGGCGTCAGTGTTCTGTATTTTGAAATTTGTAGCAGCAGTCGCCGCAGCTCCACGTCACCTCCGATCCTACTAATATCCAGTTCTATACACCACGGGCTGCTTCTATCTACCTTGTGCAATCTCATAGCTAAATGGAGAGGATTTACAGTTTAGATGAGAGGATATTGTTAGCAATATAGCGAATTTTGCTGACTAATATCACACACATTGGGCCAGACTTGATAGTCAAACTCTGAAGATGTTGCTTCAGAACCGTTTCTCTTCACTGGTATGTGGAAATGCTGCCTGAAAGCATTAAACCCCAGTCTGTCTCTCTCCATAGTGCTGAAACCCAGTTTCTTTCTCTCTGTTTTTTATTTTTATTTTTACCTAAACTCAGCACACACACTAACAACACTTAATTAAATGCATGTCAAGGCAGCAGTCTCAATTGAAGTATCTGTGCCCGTGCAGTTCACTAACTAATAATAAATTTGGGTGGTTATGACTTTTGGGTTTAGAATAAGTGCAAAGAACTGCACCTTGGGTGTGTTGTGCGAGTTGCGTCGACGTCCCTCTTCCAGCTGCATCTCAGAGTACAGCTCCTCCTCATCCTCTTCCATGATGTCAGACAGGTCAGAGCCCCGGCTGCTTTCGCTGTGATAATCTTCATTGTGACTATAGTGAGGCTTTTGGCAGTCACGCACACACACAAACAAACACACAGACGCAATTGTTTAAGTCCACATACATCCGTACGTACATGCGCACACCAAACATACATGGATGGGCAAACACACGCATGTGAGCACACACAGGGACACGGGCACAGGAGTGTATGCATGCAACCACCCAGACATGCATGCACACACATCCAAACATACACACACGTAAGAGGTTGTCCATTGAAAAACACATTGGGACAAAAAGTAAGGTAAAAGATTCATCGCTGTTCTTACCGGCCTCCCGAGCTCAGAGCCTCTGAGGAACTCATCCACTGAGGGTCCTCTCCGACGGCCGCGCGCAAACCCTTCTTCATCTTCCTCTTCCTCGTCAGAATGATGCTGGTGAAATGACTGACCCTGCTCTCCATATCTGCCCTGCCTCCTGTCCACCTGAAAACATGCACGAAAAGTGAGGTAAGTAAGTAACAGAGACGGAGGCATACCAGTGGTACTTGATCTTTACTTGTTTGACAGTTTAATACTCTCTTATTTTATGGTGTGAATATACTGACAGTCATAGAAAGCCAAATATTATTTTGTACATAATCAATAGATCGCTGTATTCTCTTCATTTCAAGCTAATTTACAGGTGTTTTTAAATTATAATTAAATTCACTGTTTATTGTCATGCTGCAAGTTTCCTTTTCTTTCTTGACTGTGTAATTCCATTCATGTGAATGGATTATGCATTGCCATTTTCATCAGACCTTGCCACTTTCTGCTGCCACCCTCTGCGCTGCTTCTCGGGCGATTGCTTTGGCGACAGTGTCTGGGATGAGCGTGCCTCTGGGCTGAGGAAGAATCCTCTGGGGGGAGGGGGAACGTGGATTGGGAGGGGGAGGGGCCTCAAGGGTGTGGCCTTGCATGGGCACAGGAGGCTGGGAAGTGGGAGAGCGTGTTAGGTCCCAGCCAGGCTGGCCAGGTGGAAAAGCTCCCCCGTGGTGGGCTGCGTGGTCTTTGGCATCCAGGTCTCTGGCACATACTGGTCTCTGAGGTATAGGGTGGTGATGGGGGTGGGGTAGCAGAGGCAGTTGGTGCTGGGGCCTGGGACCTTGGTGCGGATGGCGAGGCGGAAGGTGTAGGGGCTGGGGCTGAGGATGTGGGAGTCGGTGCTGGGGTTGCGGGGGTCCACCTGGGTGGGGGAGTCTGGGATGGGGTTGAGGGTGAGGAGGATGGGGTGGGGGTGGTTGTCCGTGGGCCTGGGGTGGAGCAGGAAGTTGGGCCTCTGGGGGGAGGGGGAACACATGAGGAAGGTGAGGGGATTGGAGGTGGGGCTGAGCATGGGGGTGTGGAGGGGGGCCTGCGTGGGGGTGCATTGGCGGTGGCAGGGGGATTGCAGGTAGAGGCACGAGGAGGTTGTTTGGAATGACGGCGACAAGGGAGTCCTGGGATTCTCCCTGCACTGACAGCGTCCTCACGATGACTTCCCTGGCCTCCAGGCACTGAATCCTTGTCAGCTCGACAGTAACATAGTCTGCCATTGGGAACAACACTTCAGCTATCTGGATTTAAAAAGAGAAAATTAAATGTCAACATACACAGAAGCGGCATAATCATTTCTAACAACTGAAACAACTTTTTTCTTTTGTGGCATCCCAAGACTCTAAGACTAAGATACGAAAATAGTTAATATTCTCTTGTTCTGAGCCAAACCTCCTTCACAATTTATCAATGTTAATATTAGTATGTGAAGCAAATAATAAAGCAGGAAACACCATGCTGTCAACGTTTCAACATAGTGTGTTTTACTTTGGCAGTCACCAGAGGGAGTGAGAGACCTTTTCCAGGATGTTCACAGGAACCCAGATTGAGAGGCTTGCTCTGAACATGAATCACAAGTAGGTGGCACTGCTGTGTATGCACTCAGGCCACTGATGACATAATGCTCAACTCAACATCAGATTCTATTACCACCCCATCTGTGATGCATGTTCTCATGTTTCAACTGGATTAAATATGATTAGAACAACCCAATCAGTGTTTTGCTGTATCTGTGTAGGCCTTTGAAATATGGATCTCATATGCTTGGGAATTCTCCACGAACCGGTCCCTCGGTACTATTCATGCTGCTGCACGAAGTCACTTGTTTTCTTTGTTACTATTATTGATGCCTTTAGCTCAAGATGCCTTTTAGCAGAGGATGTAGTCTTGGTGGGTAACACTTGCTAACTCACCCTCTGTCCTTTAGTGCAGACTGCGTAGCCAACGACATTTGCCCCATTAGATGTGCCTGTGGGAGAGAGGATGGGGGGCTTCCAGCGGACCTGTAGGACCCCTGGAGCCTGCCCACAGAGCACCTGTACATCTTGGGGGGGCTGGGGAGGGCCTGGGAGGTGAGGGGGGGAAAAAAGTTTAAAAGTTGTGTAATCATTTACTGTTTTATTATCACAAATATATAAACAAGAGGAAAGGGTGTGAAGCATTCATCAAATGCACAAATTGGTGCACACACAACCATGCACAGAAATGAGAGGGAGTGAGGTGGGGGTGAGGATTCAAGACGCAACAAACTGGGTTCATTTGTAATTTCACTTGTCATATTTATATTTGTGAAAGAATTACACAACACTATATTTATACTTTGTAGATATGCACAGTTCATGCGGATACTTGTGATAATATGACATGGCTGTTGTGTGCTGTGTTTATAAAATGCCAATTATTAATATGACTATAATGAAGTTATAATGGCAGTACATTAACATTATCTAATGTAATATACTCCAAAATCAAACTGTGATGTGAAATGCAATCCTCTTTGTGTAGCAGTATTTCTTGCAGTGTGTATTCCTCTGGCCTAGTGCTGTACCATAACCTCATACTACTCTTTATGTGAGGTGAGCGCTGTTGTCTCCACATGCAGGACACAATCCGGAGAGACTACAGCTCATTCTTAGTCTTCCACTCTCCTGGATCACTGGATAAAACATGCACAACTGCAGTCAAGCAGAGGCAAATGCACACTCATACAAAATGGTCATTTCAGTGAGCAGTGGAGAGGCACTGCTTTATATAGTGCTGGTTACTACAGGCTAGGCTATAGGCTGAGGAAATGACTCATCAGAATAATAACTGATCATATTGTGTGATGCGTGGCTGCTCTCTAATCAGTGATATACTCAGTGCAGTGAGCAAACCTGGGCAGAAATGTAATTAGAATTTGGTTTCCAAAAATAATTGATTTATAAAGATGTTTAATGCGTTTTCATTTAAATAGATACATAAATGATACATTGTTTGTAGATGACAAATCTTTTTCAATAAATGCCATTTTGCCCAAATGTCTTAATTGAACAATACGTCATTATTCTCAGTTCCATGACCACAAGCCTCTTCCGAAAGTATCATAGCACTAATGTCATCTCTGTCCATTGGTTTGCAATAGAAGAAAATGATTTGGAGAAACCCAGTCCACGACTGATGTTTCATTCTGACCTGTTCTGCAATATGGTGTTGGACCTAGACAGAATACAATACACAACAACGGCAAAGGTAAGGCAATTATGTACCGTACTCTTCTATAGCACAGTACAATAACCTTAACACTGATATGGCATTATGTCACATATTTGAGCCGGCATTACAGTTAACTGTCATAAACAGAGCAGTAGCAGTCTGTCGTCTCCATCTGTCTCCAAGATCGTTTAAAAACAAGCAAACGTCTGCTTTGGCGCTATGCATATATTATTGGTATCTGTATGTATAGCAATGAGCTTTTGCTGACCTGCAGCCTGAGTGCAGAACTCCACGCCGGCTTCTTTCCTCTCTCTCTGCTCCAGCGGCAGTTGCCATGGCACCTGGTGCGGCTGTGCCACCACCGTCACTTTGTAAACTGTCAGGGGCTTCAGGTTGACGAAGCGTAGTCTGTACCGTCCCGGCTTTACCGCCGCGTGCTCCGCCCCGTCCAGGAACACGTTGTGACCGTAGTTGCTGTTGCTAGGCAACCAGGAGAGCTCGGCAGTGTCGCGCTGGATGTCGTCCACCCGGAGGCCGCACGGCGCCACCACCACGTTGGCCCCCACCAGCAAGGTGCAGCGCAGCTCGTCCGATAAGCCCCGGTCCGTGGCACTCTGCACCGACACGCGATGAACGCAGCCGTCCAGGTCCAGCTTCTCCAGCAAACACTTGGCCCGGCCGCCATACATTACACTGGCGCGAAGCTCCCCGTCTACTAACACGTTGTAGCCAGAGATGTTCCCCCAGCCCAAAGGCACTAGTGGAGGCTCCCAGGCCACGATGACACTCCGTGCCAGCTGCTTGATCAAGTTGATCTTTCGGGGATAAGGCACAACGTCTTCAGCCAGGTCGTCAGGGTCCAGGGGCCCCCCTGTCCCATTGCTACAGGGAACCAAGGCGTTAGATGTGCCCAGGAGGCCGTCCTGGGCACCTCCATCCACTGCCATCAAGGCCAGGGGCATATGGTCCAGAGAGCCCAGGTCGTCTCCTCCCTCCCCTGACTCAATCGCTAGTTTTTCCTTGTCTTGGACAAATTCCACGAAGTTGGAGGGAACAAGTCCTCGCTGGCCGTCTAGCAGCTCCCCTGTGACACAAAAATACATAGATTGGAAGTTGTAGGAGATGAATAACTCAACAAAGTGCATTTATTCTTCCTGTTCATGTTGATGAAAATGCTACCCTTGTCTTGTCTCTATAGGAAAGCAAGACGGTCCCTCCGCAATGCCTCACGCAAATGTTAAAATTAGGCTCACTAATGGCTCCTTACAAGAAAAAGACACAAGGAAAGCTGTAACTTGAATACACCTAATCATCAGTGAGATCTATTTTAGGTCAGATATGTAAACATACAGTACGTGCTATTCCCTAAGACGTAAGATTAACTGCTGCTCTGATGCTATCTCTTGTACTCTCTCCAGTAAACACAGAACTCAGAAAACATTTCAACATTTTGAAGAACGTGAACTTTAGTTCATCACTTTTGAACATTTCCAGGAACACCCCTGAGCATTTAGATGCTGCGGTCAATGCAGGAAAAAAAAAACAGCGTAGATTTGCACTGTACTTTTTTCCCAAAGGGAAGAAGTTTGTCTTCAAAAAAGCTCCTTATCATCTTGTCCTTCAATCCCTTTCTCCACAGAGGCCTGGGAGACCTTAAGAACATCTGTGTGTGTTTGTGTATTCATGTGCGAATGAGTGTGTGTTTTGTTTGTGTGCGCTGATGATTAAACTGAGCCCTGCTGGATTAGTCATCGAGCTAAAAGGGACCAAGGTCCCATCTTGACAACAGCTTGGTCTGAGGCATCAGTCTCCCTCCTGCGTGGTAAATACAAGGCTCTTCCACGATGCCATGCAATTTCACCGCCCACAGCTAATGAATCACTACAGCTGAGTACAACTGTGTCTGCAGTGGGCTGCGCTGTCAGCAGGATTTCTAGTCAGGGGGATTAGGATTGCCTCTGATGGAGAAGCCTTCATAATTTTAAAGAGATTAGACAGAGAATCACTCCAATCACCAGTTACAAAAAAGGGTGCAGGGTGTGTTCTTGGTGACACTGACACAGAGCATACTTACATACAGGTGTAGGCAAATTAACTTAAACACCCAGTGGGTAAATGATTAACTTCAAAGTAACAGGTTGAATGTCAGCTGGATTTTGATTGCTTTAAAAGAGAGCTTTCAAAGCAATATGCAGCTCAGCAACAGCTCTAACATCAGAGCCCAAAGTGAAGGTGGATCAGTCTCAAGAAAACTGCTAAAATATTTGATACCTCTAAGAAAACCACAGTGACATGAGCCAAATACAGTTTGACTGTGCTGACAAAGAGCAGTTCAGGTCGCAAGGTTAAAATAACCAGTATGACATAAGTATCAGGGTGACAGATACTGCTACTGTCATGATGCCCAAGAAGAGCAGCAGTGTTTACAGTGATGATTGCGTCAGCATTGCAGTCTCTTTACATTAAGGTTTGATCATGATGTTATGTCATGTCTCGCACATCGAGGACAAAGTCAACAAGATATACTGTAGAGTGACAAGTATAGAGTATATACAAGATGTATATATATACCCACAATGCACAGCACAGTATATGACATGGTAATTTTAAAAGGATGTTGACTGTAACAAATTCACTGGGGGATAACTGTGAGCTGGCAGACACAGATCTTGGCATGTTGTCTCATTGCGAGATTAATCAATATGCGATGATGCACACGCTTGTTGTGACTGTCAAGCATTCTCTGCTACAGCAGCAGACAGGGACTCGGGCAAAACCACAGACTTGAAAGGCAACAAAGGACACCTCCTGCTGTACTGTAATCTTTGATATATAAAGTGCAATTTTGACTATTTTTTTAATCATTATTTCCCATGTAATCTCTGCGTCTTGTTTTACTTCTCACCTTGATAGAAGCCGTCATCGTCCATGTTTCCATACACGTACAGGTACTTCCCAGCCACAAGGGGGAGTTCTGCTTCAGGGTGCTCGTTTGGTCCATCGTAAGGGTTATAACTGAAAGGAGGAGTTCCTTTTTTTTTTTAGTTTTCATGACAGTAGCTTTTTTACATTTACATTTTTAAATAAAGAAGCAGTTCATTAGTAAACTCAAAAAAGATTATTTGCAATAAAATCAACAGATTCCTGAAGCATTCACCTGTATCGGGCAGTGCAAAGGCGGACCTGGCCTGTGTAGCGAGGCTTGGACCTGGGTGACGGGCTGGCCTCATCCTCCATCTATAGATTGACAACGTAACCGACATTAATGTCATATACTACATGCATGCTATTCATAACTAGGGTTCAACCCAAAGCAAAGTAAGCCATTGAAAACATGACAAACTTAAAACTATCTTGAAGACATGATAAGTCATACAAGCATTGATGCGATAGTGGTCACATCAATGCATCAAACCCACCTCTGAGGGGGTCCGCTGTCGAGGGTTGCTGGGGCGGTCCGTCGTCACGGTGCTGGACTTGACAGACAGTGGTTCTGGTCTTTTTCTGTCTCCAGTCTGTGGTGTGCAGGGCGAGAACTGGGAGATCAGTAGAGGCGTGTTTGCCGCGCTCTCATCGCCTGGGAGACATCGATATCCATAGCAAATAAAGAGCAACTGTCATTCCTTCTGCACCCATTTGCTGCTCACTGTACAGCTATTGATCTCCTGTTGAAGCGAGTGTACAGCAAACACACTTCATGGCAAAGGCTATTCCACCTCACATCTGCAATACATTTGTCATTAAATACCACTGAGGTCCTCATGTGGAGGGGGGGGACACAAACACTTGAAAAACTCAACTCAAAATAGAAAACTGCAGTCTAAGAGTGTGAACAGCTGAATTCCTTGAGGAAATTAAAGTCAGTCAACAACATGGGTCCACGGCATCAGTGGGTTCTTGCGGTTTGTGAGTGAGTAATATTATGCATTAGCCCGAAAGCATCAGTGAGTGCCCCCTCTGTTTCAAGTGGAGAGAAAGATAAAACAGGATTTCCAGCACTTCAAAGACCTCTGGTCTGTGCCAGACTGTATAAATCTACATCGTTGATATGGCTCTATCTGCTGGCTCTGCAGGTTGCACTATGTGTCGCTAGAATACTAATGTGTTAAACCACATTCATGTCATACATCAGGCCTATGATCAATTAGGGTGGATATTGATCATGAATAAGCAGTGCTGCCATTAATGGTTGTCCACCTCTGGTCAGGAGCGAGCTGATCCAGCTGTTATGTGAGCCGTCTGGGGACGAGATCACTCCGACTCTCATTTCATTCTGATCAGAGGCCTTTTGATCACATGTAATTTGGTGAATGCTTTTATCCAGAGTGCAGTCATTATTTTTTAGAACGGGTGGACCTCACTGGTAGTGGACCATTGATGACTCACGATGGACAGGTTAAAAAAAATAAAGTCTCAAAATTATTGCAGTGTCGATTTTCCTTCCTTTTCAAAACCTGGCGTCTCAAACGTGTACATATACATGTGACGTTTGGCTGTGAGTCGAGTGCCCTGACCCACCGTTCTCCGTCTGGGCTTCAAATCCAACGATGACTTGGGAGAGTGTCTTCTCTGATGAGAGAGGGATCTGGGATGTGGAGGCAGGATTATTTGTAAGGATGCCCACAGTATCTGATTGCAAACGAAAATTCAGCAGCTCGTTGGACAGCTGGTGGAAGTGTTCACTCTGTGACCTGCATTTCTGCTCCAGGTCACGAACCTTGACCTTTGAAAAAGACAACAAAGAGAGGGGGTGTGATGGCCGAGAGGAGCAAGAGAAACAAAAGAGAGAAAGAGGGAGAGAGCAGGAGGTAAAGAGTGAAACATGAGGGGAAAATACACACACAAAGCACGGAGAGTACTTCATCACATGTAATGTTCAGATAGGAATTCTCTGAAGAACAGCCAACGTTTCATCTATTACTGCTGATCAAACAAAGACCCAATTAGAAAGGGATCCCTAAAGAGCCATGTTTCAGCATTGAGCAGCATGTTATATTGGAACCACTGCAGTCTAATCAAAGCACATGGAAGTGTAGACGCATCTGCACCGCTGCAGCTGCTGATACTGTTAAACTCTGATAAGGAAGCCTAAGTACTGCAAGTAGTTAAGAGGATTATAACACTTACAGCATAGACATTAAAGATGGCATATCATAAATATATCGGAGGAAGTCGAGGAAGATGGATGGGGTGTACGGCGAGTATAGTAATACTCGATATCATTCAGGGCACAAATGGATTCTCGATTTGCCCCCCAAAATAAGGTTTTGAAAGTTTTAATGATTTGCTGAATATTCACACATCAAACTAATCAGGGAGGAAAGTAAATACCTGAAACATTCTGTCCTTATTGTTCTGTTCAGACAAAAAAAAGGAGAAAGAAAAAAGTAAAGAAAGAAGAAAATTTAAAAGAAAAAACATAATGAAGAACCAAACACGACTAGATGACATTGGAATCGATGCAAAGACTAAAAGTGAAATGCAATAATATATTTATCGGTGCAGATAAATATACAAAAGCAACATGAAGTTAAAGTAAAAGGAACCAAAAAGAAACATAACTTTATGTTTGTCAATCTGTAAAAGCCTTCCGAGCACAGGACTGTGGAATCAGGGGTTTGTTTCTGAGTTTGACCCTACAGACATGTTTTTCTTCCTGCTGAAGTGTGTGTTTGCTCATTAGTGTAGAGAAACAGGCATGTGACAGAGACTAGCAATTGATTCAAGGGATTTGCAAGAAGAGAAGTAACTCAACGACTGTGGAGCTTCCATTTCTCAGACCAAACTCCTGATGTTTGTCTCAGCCTAACTCAGGCTGCTTGCTCAGTAAAATCGTATTAAAGTGCTTCAGCTGGATAATAACATCACCTGACTTGAACCACATGCAAAGGAGTCTGCACCCTATTGTCGTGACAAAAGGATTTAGAGTGAAATGAGAAAATAATTTTGAGTAGATGAGCCAGTGACAAGCTTCTTAAGAGACTGATGAATCACAGCAGGTCAGTGATTTGATCATAGGGACATTTAGTAATCAATGTCAGCCTGGTTGCAGGATTAATGGGAATCTGCAACTATTGTTAAAGTTTGGAGGAATATTTCACAATGCAAAAGTACAGAAAACCTACAGGAAGACAAATGACAATATAGGAATATAGCTGCAAACACAGAAGCTGAGCTACAGATTGTTTTAGACTCTCTGGGGTATGAGTCACAAACTGGAGTATTGAATAACCTGCACGGTGTTACAGTATTTGTTCACAAGCACTTCTGGGTGGGAAAAGGCCAGTTTATCGTCAGTGGATTTCAAATTTTAAAAAACACAATTTATGCCAAAACCACCTGATTCAGGGCAGAGGGCATCAGCCAGCACCCTGACGATGCCACTACTCTTCCACTTCTCGAAGAAATTGTATTAAAAAAGGATCCAAAAACATGACAGAGTTATCCACAAACCTAGGCCTGGTTTTCCTCACCGTGCTTAACATCAAAGACCCTACTCATGTATTGTCCACACAGACACACACACACACACACAGGTGTTTTCACTTCACTGGCCTGATTAGACCTCTTCTCTAGGCTGTGTGGCCGTGTGCAGATTGACGTCTCGTTAACGTCTTGCTGATGCACCTGTTCAGACCTTTATCGTTCTTAGAGTTACCAAGTATGTCTAAAACTACACTCTACGCATGGAACACTCAATTGTGAGTAGATTTTAGACACTTCTACATCATCGTCATGATGTGTCCCTTGAGGGTTGCTGACTAGAAATCTATCTGAAATCAAGCAAACATTTCAAAAATCCTGGGGAAAAAAAACAGAAAGCTTGACAGTAATGTTAACAAAGAGGGACAGGGCTAAGCAAACACTGAATTCCTAGCAGAGGTGCAATCAGCCAGTGTAATTTAAAACACCTGTGTGAGTGGTGCACAGACTTTACAACAGATTTCTTTTTTCTACAGATAAAGTGATTTTTAGATGTTTATATGTAGCACTTGTTCCACATCTGTCTAATACTATGTGAAACATCTGGCGGATTATTTTGTCTCATTTCATCAGCTTAAAACAGATCTAAACCATATCTCAGAAAGGTAACACTGAGGTAAAGCTGTACCTCTAACAGGTGCACTGCTTCCTCATGCTGTTGGTCAGCGTGAAACCATAGCTTGCAGTGAACACATAGAGACGCACAGTGGCAGCTGACACCGTGATCACAGTCCATGAGGTAGAATAGACCGCACACAGCTGACATACTGTCAACCCAATACAGAGGTTGATCCCAGCACTGGTAATTGAGGAGATGCCTACTCCTGATGGCTCTGATGAGCAGTAACAGATTTATTTTAGTGTGCAAGAAGTGGCTGGTAGCAGAAGTAAAAGCACAGTTTTCAACATTAAAAAACGTCTTTGCTTAGTTTTACAAATTACTTAGCATCTGCTTCGTGTCTGTTTGTTTCTCTTTGAAAAGACGCCAGTGCAATAAGTGGGTACATGGAGACAACTGACGGAAAAACCTGACAGATATCTGAGGAAGCAGTCACTATTCCGCTGTTTTAAGGCATATAAAAGCTGGCATGCTCTAATCCAGCAGGTATTTTGAGTATATTTACATATCAGTCAATAGAATAAGAATGGGCTTTTTGTTTTATCTTTGTATGGCGTGTAAACAATTAATTGTAAATAATGCTGCAACAGGACAAAGATGCAACAAATTAATTCTTTAAAGCTACATATTTGTTCATTTAACAATTGAAAATGTAGGCTCCACAACGTTGAACATCAGGGTGATTGAATGTATGATTAGGTCAAAATTCAAGACGGTAAGACAGATAATTAAACATCAACAGTTTCTGTTGTATCAAAAGCACTTGTAATTTAAATCCATGTGTCCCTTGTGATATTTGCAGTTCTATCTAACCAGTTTCCAAGCAGAGTAAGAATATATCCCAATAATAAAAAAGGTACCAGACATGATACGAGGCCTCGAAAAAAAAGTCGACACGGTGTTTAAATTTATCAACTAGATAGGCAACATTTTTAGCAAAGCGCTCTTCATCACGCTGTCAAACAATATCAAAAGGTGTTGTCAGCTGAGACTGCATTTCGGACAAAATCTGCTGATTTTTACTTCATTTGACAGGTTTCTAAGGTCTTCATATTTTCTGATACAGTAGCAGCGATTCAATGACAGTGATTCAGCACAAAGTGACTACTGACACATCAGTTACTGAACAAGCAGCTTCAGTTCGTCACTGCTCTTATCACAAAATCAATTACAAGGGAGCATTGTGTCAAAAGTATATAAAAAAAAAAAAAAAAGTAAACTTTCAATGACAAATTTTGTATTTTTGCCATTATCCATAAGTCCATACCTTTTGCAGTTGATTGATCTCCTTCTGCTTGGTGTGGAGGGCCACCAACGCCTGCTCATGCTCTATCTGCAGCTGCTGCTTCAGCTCTACAGCCTCGTGCATATGCTGGAGAAACAGAGAGAGAGAGGATGCGGTTACGTTGACGGATGTTCTTTAGAGATGATTGTTGACAGTATACCGTTTCAGCTAGAAAGTTGAACTATTTCTTTAAAAGGCAGATTTTGCAATCTAAGGCACTCAAGTGTTGAAGTTCACTGCGGAAGTAAAGAGTGCTATACAGTATGAGCTTTTCATATAATGCGTATCAGATGCAACCCACTGTATACTGACTCGAACTGACTCAGACAAAAGCTGTCACGCATGGTCACCCACGCTGATCCTAAATCTACCCTTTCCCAAATTAGCCGAGTCATAACCATACAGTATCTATCCGCGAAGTCACGACCGGCTGCCACATCTTACAGAAACAGAGTTAAGGCCATAAGATGTTTCCACGGGCTTAAGAAGAAAAGACAGCTTAAAAAGCTCTGACATTCATCATTTTCTCTCTGTGTTCTCTCTCCCTTGGAAAAAAAGAAAAAAGAAAAGCCTCTTTACCTCCCGGAGTGGCTTCGAGGTGTCCTGAGCAGGCAGCTACTGCTTTGCATAATCAGGGAGAAGTTCTAAGCTGCAGAGGACTGGGCTGGCTGAGAGGCTGTCACTGGAGCCTTAGTGAAAAACTACTTTTTATAACTCTTGGATATTCTCGGTAGGCTTGATGAACTCACCTACATTTTAAGCAAACACTCTGTGATGTCACGTTAAACCAGAGACAGATGTTGATTTTAAACCAACAACCTGCCGTACACAAGTCTGCATCTCAAGACCACTGCCAACCTTTCTTATTCTGGTTTGTGGCCTTCATGATGACTGATGAAACACGTTGGTCTATAAAGTTGTTCTATATACTATAAATATATATAGAATATTATACTATATATACGTTTTGACACTTTTTCCCTTCTCCGTGCACCTTTATAAGTAGGCGAAGCTGTGCCAGGAACCCCCACTCTGCTACAACACTACAGACAAATATCTTTGAGACGAGGGATGTTTACTGCTTAGCAGAACTGTAGACCTGAAACCTGGGATTTGGACTTGAATCAAACTTAAAGGGGAACTCTTAAGTGATTGCAACATCAGTTATGTCTGAAGACTACAGTTGGGGGGCATGGAGTTAAAAAGAAGTGAGCTTACCAACCAGACCACTGTACCCCACTCCTCCTCTCTGCTTGTGGCTCGAAGCTACATTAGCCGCTACTAGCACTGCTTAATCATATGGACTGTCCTCTTCAGTGACAATTGTAACAGGCCACTTTACATTTGTCTTGCATCTTGCCCTTTAGACATTCTGTATGACAGAGAAGTGTCTTAAATTCCCACATATAAAATAAGTCTTTTGTTACCACATAACATCATTTTAAAGCCAAGATTGACAGTGCTGTATCTCATTAGCTTTGACTGAAGAAGTCCGTGTTTTGGCAATTTTTTTTCCCCATGTTGCATCTCCTTCATCTCTGCTCTCTTCACCCACATTGCCCTGTGTAAATAGTCTCTGTCTGCTTAATCTCTGTCTGCTTAATCAATACACAATGAGAAAGTGACAAACCTTTCTTTGCTGTATTAGGGAGCAGGTCAGTTTTTCTCAGATGGGTACATTTCTCTCTCAAATATCCTGACAAACAGACAATCGATAGGAGATGCAGGGAGGCGAGGATTTGTAATGAGAGCGCCTCTCACGGTGCAGGGAGACTGTGTCTGATTACTATTGGCAGACTAGAAGACGGTGAAAAAAGAGCCCCTCCATGAATCCGATGACACTTCACCTCATGAGTTGCATCGCTTTCCTTCTGAAGTTTTCTTAGAAAACGTACACATGGGAGATTTGGATATTTCCAAAAGAGGCAGCAGAAATAGGGCTGGAAAAAGCTCCCAATCTGATGAACGGGGTGAGCTCGAACAGAACCGCTGAAGTGAACGAGGGATGAATGAGTGCAGATAGGAATGCTGGAGAAATGTGGTGAGATATACAGTATGTCAGATGAAAAAGTGGACGGATAGAATCAGTGGTGATAAAGGAGGATAAACGGGGTCTCCTAATTCTTTTGCTATGCCTACTTAGCAGTAAGACATGTGCAGGGTTTGCCTTAGAGACGCATTGCTCAGAGAACGGGAGAGATGAAGAAGAAACTATTGCAGGTTTATGATATCAATCCCTGGACTAACTTTTAATTGATTTACATCATTTAATCCATAACTGCAGGCAATTAAATGTGGGAGTGAAAGGAAATGTTTTCCTTGGGGGGGCATATGTGAAAAATGGCAAATCAGAATGCTTTAATCAAGTCATCCAAAGGTTCATTACTGACACTTACTGGTCATAAAATGAATTAACAATATAAAACATGTAGTATCATGCCACACATTACGAGTGCACCGAAGAATACCAGTGGAGCGAGCACACATTGAAATAGAGGGATGAATAGAGAGATGAAGAGTTGGAGTTATTAAAAGAAGACTACTGATATTTGTATTGAGGGGTATATAGGATGAAAGTAAACATAAATTCAACAACGCCTGACCTTTAGAACCTGTTCCAGGTTCTCCACTTTGTCTTGGAGTTGGCTCCTCTGCTGCTGGGCCACGTCTCTCTCCTGGCTCACTACAGCAAAGGTCTGTCTCAGCTGCTCATAGTCTGATCGCACCTACATGAAGAGAACGAGTCCAGATGCAAGGGAGGGAGGACCAAGAAAGAGACAAAAAGAGCAAGAGGAGATTAAGAGGATTATAAAAACAACATGGATACAAACAGCCACAAAAAAAGGTTAGCAGAGACACAGGTAAACAGAAAAACCAACAAAGCGAGGGGAAACACTTTCATTTCCTCCCTGTTTTTACTTGAGAGTAAATGCAGCATTTATTCTGTTTTGGGTTTTTTTCAAAGAGGAAAAGAAACATGCAATTTGTATGAGGTTTGTTCTTGCAGTAGACCTACTTTTTACATTTATGAATAGATGCTGTTCTTTTTTGTGCTGGAGGGTTGATTGGGAGTTCACAGTCTGAAGAGAAATTAATCAGCACATTTCAATTTAGCCTTGATGAGACAGAGCTGCTGACTTAAGCGTTCTGCCTCTCGCTCCTTCATCAGTCAGAGGCCTTGAGTCAAGCTGGTTCCTCTCAAGGTGGCCTCATAGGACCGAGCAGAACCATCCCTCAGCCGTACACCAATCATCTCATTAACGAGCAAAAGAGATGAGGGATACAATAGATAAGCGTGCTTACTCGACTGCACAAAACTACACCGCTCCAAAGGCAACGAGTTCATTCGTACCGTGGAATTTATGACAGGAGCTCTATTAATCTGAGCTCTATCACGTCGGACAAGTAGCATAGCAATCATTTTCAAGCATTTATTTAGATACCCAAAGATGGTTTACATAATAAAATAAAATTAGGTGAGTAAAAACAACCTTTAAAACTAAAAGCTAATATAAGCGCAGAACAGAGCAACATAAAAAAATGTAACTTTAAAAACCGGGGTCTGGTAATAAAACCTTGTGTTATGTATCTCCCGTAAATAAACATTCTAATCTAATATATATATTCGATGAATATTCTGTCCTTAGCTGTGCTATTTAATCAGCAACATTCAAATATTTTTTCAAAACTGAAATTAGTAACTGTCAAGGTGAACACACAGGACCCTGACTCAGTGAGTCCAGTACAAGCACACTGTGATTTTGGGTCAATATGTTTCCTTTTGAAACTGTCAGTTAATTCTCTTGAACTCTCCACAGAAAGTAGAATGTCTTTTCTGTGATTGCTTTCTCTAATAACATCACCACTTTCTTTCTGTTCTCTGCCACTTCTCCCTCTTTCATCCCTTCATTTCCTCCCTATGCTCCGTCCACCACACGCTGCCAGGATTGCTCTTACAAACCAGTGGCGGGACTGGACACGCTTCCTTTTTCATCTCTGTGCCCACCTTGTCCGTGCACAGATGGCATCTTTTTTTGTGTGGCACGCTGGAGCAACAGCTCCGAGCTGAGTCCCTGGACACGTGTCAAATCTGCCCCCTCTGTGAAAGTCACCATTAGTGCCAGGGTAGCTAATCGCCTACCATCACAGACTGTCTCCATCTGGGTGTGTGTGTGTGTGTGTTTATGTATGCATGTGTGAAGTGGGAGACTCTGGCTGACTGTGCCAGTGAGGATGCAACGATGGGAAAGGAAACGCAGCAATGATGTGTGTGTTAAAGATGGAAGACGTGACATTAACAGCACATGTGGGTGAAGAAGCAATATAAAGACCATGAAGAGGCAACACACGATAAGATGTATGATGATGATAAAAAGGCTGCAGGGGTATTGATCTGCAGAGACGGTTTCACAGACAGCAACATATGACTGATGTTGCAGCTATTTATAAGACCTTGTGCTTGTGATACGTAGCACCTATATCACTGGTAGTGTAATATACAATATATTTTACCATTGATCATGGCCTGGTTGGTCATTGATTATCATTCTGTGCGAGTGTGTGTGTGTGTGTGCAGTGCGTGTGCGATGCCATACCTGGTCATAGTCGGACGTCTTCAGGTGGTGGTTGATCAGCTCAAGGTTCAGACGTTTTTTCTCCTGCAAGGCAGCATGGAGCTTTGCCCTCTAAATAAACAAGAGACACAAAAGAGAGTTTAGTGTGTTGTTACATTATGATGCATCTTCTTCCTCATGTCTGACTGCATCACTTATGCAAGCCAACCAGCGCAACTCCATCTTAAAACTATTATATAAACGACAGAGGAAACACTCAGGTTAGTGCCGATCCCTCCACTCCATCTGCACGCATGTGTGTGTGTGTGGGGGGGCTAAGCTTTTCTCTAAGATGCTGTCTGGAGGACAAAACCCACAGCTGCACACTGTCACCCTCCATTTGGTATATGGCATTAGGAACGGACGGGGAGAGCTGAAAAAAAGAGGGCGGGGGGGGGGGGCACAGGAAGTAAGAGACGGGAAGAGAGAGGGATGGATAAGAGGAATAGGAAGTGGGAAAAGGTTTGAGGGAGATATATTCAGGACAAACCTAACAGACTGATGAGATGGAATGAGGGAGTGCTGAATATGTCAGTTGAATGCTAAATAAGCAAATGAGTGCATAATTTGAGTCAAAACGTAGCGAGCTCAAGATGATATTCAGTTGCACGACACGTAAAAAGGATTGAAAAGAGGTGTGCAGTTCCTGTCTGCACTCTCTGCTGCACAGATCCACATTCAGAAGTTGTCATGCCGCTGGTGCTGCAGGTACTCAAGCATTACATAATTACGGCAGACTCAAACTAGGGCATCGCTCTCCTCCTATCACAGCGCTGAGCATTTAAGAGACTGCGACTGGTCATAGCCTGGCCCATAATACCACTTCATGCTAGTGCACTGAGCTCATACTGTTGATTGTCCATTCTCAGCATCGCCATCATAAAATGTGAATAAGTCATTATTAATAGCAGTCAAGCCGTTTCTCTGTTCAGCTTTGTCTTTATACAAAAAGCATAAGATCACAGCTTTTACGTTAAAATGGTGGCTTAAAGACCAGTGGGGGGGTTTCAACATGTTTTATGAATCTAAAAATATTGCCCCCAAAAAAAACAAGAAGATGTGTAGTCTTTAAAACAGGGTTTAATCCAGTTGCCACCTATGTGTCATAAACTGATGAAAACATCTGACTGGCAAGATGCATTCTAGCTCCATAAAGCACAGCTGACTGTGCTGTTTTTATTCCACGCCTATGAGCAGCACCATGTAAACACTGTGACACACCTCACATACAGTACATGTAATACGCTCTCTTGAGCCTGATTGCTGCACAAGAGAAGATTGTGCAGCTCAGAGGTTTGTGATCAAATTTATCAGGACAAATCGAGAAACTCAATAAACCCGAGCCAAGAGGAGAAGAGAGGGGTCAGCCAGGTTCATCCTTCTCTTTGTGTGCAGGCAGAGAGACAGGGCTGTCGGAGGAAGACACCATCAAACCGAGACGCAGATCGAGAACAGACAAGGACGGGAAGACACAGAGACTGGTGAGTGAGTTCACACGCTGCTCTTATTGTGTAACGCTACCTCCGCATCACGTCACCGCAAGACTACAGAGCAGCAGCAACTGTACTGAACCACACCGAGCTACAGTAGAGCGGCCACAAATGATCTTGTTCTTCCGCCTTTGACTGGTAATTATGGAAGACGTGACACATCATGAGGTGCCAGCTGCTGTTGTCCTCTGCAGGCCGACGCTCCAGGACGTGGCCTTGTTGTTGACACCGAAGGGAAGCGTGGTGGGGGTCCGGAAGGGATGTAAAGATAAATGGAAGGAAGTGATGGACAGGTCGAGTAAAGACAGTTCAAGCAAAAATGAAGTTCAGGGTTCATTTGAGGCTGCTATGATAACAAAAATAAAGAAAGGAAGACACATAGAAAAAAAAAGAAGAGTGACCTTTTAAGGCTTCTTTTTATGGGCCTCAGGAATGATGTCTGCTTCTCCACTTCCTCCCACTTCCAGTGAATCATACATTCACAGCTCTGCTTAACACTTCGCAACATCTTGTAAACACATTGCTATACTGCTAAGCCAAGGGACACGCGCACACATTCCTGCGACAATTCCAACCTTCAATATGTACAAATCAACAGAGAAATATGGTTAGAATGTATAAATGATTTGATAATTATCCCTTCTCTTAAGGAAGAACACTTTAAAAGGGGATTAACAGCACTCCGAGGACATCTACGCAGATCCATGTTTGAGTGGAAAAGTGTAGCGTGCGTGTGAATCTGTGCCTGGTTGTGAAATTTGAGATCTATATCTGTGTGTGTGTGTGTGTAGAAAGAGTGGACAAGCTTGGGGGAGAGACCTCCACACCACTAACGACTAATTCACTTCGACAACTTCTTTCTTCCTTCCTCTTCTGTCTTTTCTCTCCATCTATCTCCGTCTCCCACACACATACACACTCATGCATGCACTTCCCCTTCCATCACCACCGTGATTATTATTCTCTCCCCAAACCCACTTATTTAGTTGCTGGCCCTAAATCTGCTCTGCTCACTGTGGCCTCTCACCGAGCTTCCAAAGAACCAGAATCTACTCTGATTCCGTACAAGCGACTCCCAAATTGTAGGAGCAAATAATAATAATAACCTTACAATAGCAGCATTTTCCACTATGCTTCAGAAAGAAATATAAGTAACTTTTCCATAACTGGCTGGACTTTAGAAAGCTTTAAAGGAATAGTTTCACATTTTGGGAAATCCACTTATTATCTCTACTTTTGTGACGAGAGTTAGATAAGCAGATTGATACCACTCACTCTGTATATATGTAAAGCTACGGCCAGGAGTTAGCTTAGCTTAGCTTAGCATAATATAAAGACTGGAAACGGGCAGAAATAGCTAGCCAACCGAGCTACACAAAATGTATTGTTCTTTACACTTAAACAAACAAGACGTAATGTATTGAATTATGAGTTTAGAGGTGCAGATAGGCTTATTCTGCTACCTTTGGTTAGGCTGGCTGCCACATTTTACAGCCACCTGAGTGTCGGATACATTTTGGGTGGAGCATGGCTGTAGTTTTGACAATCCTCATCACTTTTTTTCAACCAAAACAATATTGTGATATGGCCATGTTGAAGGGAAAGGGGCCGAGCTGCAGCATATAACGATATATACACAATTAAGACACATTAGTTCCTCTAGTTTTTGTAGTAATCAAAAAATGCAGTGTCATGTTTTCTGTCATATGAACTCCGTTTGCTCTTGTTCAAACCAGACCAGGAAGTTACTTTGATTTGCCAACAAGCTGTCTGAATATAAAATGTTATTGTTTGTATCCGGGTGTTTCCCACTGGGTTCTGATTACCCGATGACAAGGAGTTGAGCAGAAAGACATGTACTGTATTCACACTGATCCCAATTGGATGGGAAAAATTCCTCTCGTTAATAGAGCACATCCAGCTTTGTTTAACCAAATTTACACTGATCCTTATAGCTGTTTTAGCTGTATCTTGAACACACTGTATTTTTCCATGCAGGCTTAAAATGTATTTAAGGAAGTGTTAGTGCTTTTGAATTGCTGATGTGCCACTTAAGAATAAAACATACATTAATGGGAATAAATCGCAACATTCAAATATCGTCTCTTGCAAGCCCACAGAAAATTACACGGACAGGATGGCGGATTTGCTTAATTTAGAAAAAAACGTTTTTGGTTCATATTGGTAATATTAAATGTTGCAGGATCGTATTTGAGTAAGCATTAGCTAGTAGCTGCTGCACTTATAGAGGAGAACAGATGAAGGATTAAGTAATTGATGCAGATTGAGATTTCTACGATGGCTACTGCTGACTCTAAATGGGATTTCTTTTTTGTGGGTAGAGGATTGCTGCTGCTCTCCCTCAACTCCCAGGGGGATTGTCATTAATCAGATGTCACGGTGAAACACTTTGTTCCACTTAACCGTGGGCGGAAAGACACCGACGACATCAGCTGTCCTCAGTGGGAGCATCAGTGAAGTCACAGACAAGCAGAGATGTCCTAACAAATCTAATAAGTGAAGATATAACCTTCATGTACAATATATATAGAATTGCTTCTGCAACATGCTGAGTTTCGTTGCATTTGATCATCAAAATAATACTGTAGTCTTTTTTTCCCACAGCAACTCCATGTGAACTGGAGTTCATGACTTAAGTGTGGCGATCATAATAGAAAAGAGCTCACCTCACTCTCAACCCAAAGATAAAGCATAATCTCTTCTTTGTCTTCCTTCTGTAAGTTATATTAGGTACAGCGCAGACTGGTCGTTTAAACTGATCCTCAAACAAAAGGCTTCATGTATTGTGGTATTATAAATTCATATCATAAAGTTCCTCCAATGCTATCCTCTAAACTTTGTGCAGAGTGTTAAACAGGACGACTACAAGTTGGCGTTTGTGTGTGTGTGTGTGTGTGTGTGTGTGTGTGTGTGTGTGTGTGTGTATCTCCGCGTCATATATTGTTCTGCAGTTGTGCGGTTGGAGAATGGGCAAATGGAGTCAGAGCCCATGACTGTTGTCACACCAATTATAGCTGCTGCAACATCAGCTGCCTGCTCAGCACTGTCCAATATCTGAAGCAATCAGCACCATGGACAGTTCCCTCAGCTGTGGCGCCTTCTACACTACTGTGGATCAGTGTTGAGACACTGGATAAGGACTGTAGAATCTGCTTCAACTGCTGTGCGTGTTTCAACTGTCAATTTGGCATGTTGTGTCACATTACAGCCTGAAATATCAAAAGCTAGGGTGTATACATTCACATATACTTAAACATTTGAAGTATATTTACATACATAATTAAGGAATCGACTTTTCAAACTGCTTTTTAAAAAAAGAAGCCAAATAGCATCCGACACCTTAGGCTAACTGACCCTTTAAAAACTGATTCAGTTGCTTTAACTTTAACTAGAAATTGCTTTATGCTACAGTATTGACCATTTTTTAGGGCGTGCCAAAAAATCTTTCTCAACTTCTATTGGAAGCAATTAGTTTCTGTTCATTTCAGTGAACTATGAAAATAAAAAGGTACCCTGTGGAGTCCTTGAACACTAGTAACACTGTGGTGCAATGTTGTTAAG